TCTTGCCCTCTTCTCCCTAAATTGTTAGGATATACTGACTGGTTGCTATAAAAAGGAGCTGAATCAGAGGATGACATTAATTGAGGACCTTTGAAAACTCTGTAGCAGGAATGATTGAGCATCTGAATAATTCTCATGACAATCTTGAGGATAAGAATTAAAAAAGAAAAAGAAGAAAAACAACACACACTGTACCCAATTTCACCTCCAGCACTTGTGGAAATGCCATTGATGGAAGATTGAGAAATGTGGGGGCCGATTTCAAACCTCCATTTTTATCAATCTACTGAGAGTCTTTTGTATACCAATTGATGTTTCCTCAGTCTTAAATGTCCTCCTCCCTGTCATCCTTATCTGGTTAACACCTATTCAACCTTCAAAGCCTATCCAAGATGCCATCGTGACCCTGACCTATTTCTCTGTCTTCATTCCAGCTCTTACAAATCAACTCCTCAACCCTATCCCACTCCATCCTCTCCTTCCTATTTGGGTTTCTTGCCTCCTCTAAATGATCCTATAGTCTCTCTTTTGCTTATCTTCATCACAGTACTTTATATGACAAAATTCAATATGTTAATAAAATATAGTAATCATTCCTTTTTTTTCCCCAGTAAATGGCCTTTTGGAAAATGCTAGTCATAGGGCCTGGCACTTAACAGTCACTCAAAAAATTATCATTGGATGAACAAAGAAATGAGTGAAAAAAATGAATGGATGACTAGGGAACTCTCCTGGAGTCTTTCCATTATATCTGCAGATTATAGGCAACCTCTGGAAAGAGCATAGTGGATGGTAGCAAATATAAAAGATAAGACTTGGGAACAAATGTTCCATGATCTTAAAGCTCTATTGCATGAACCCAAGAAACTGATATCTGTAATTCCATTGTACATCTAGTATGTTTCATGATCTTAAAGCTCTATTGCACGAACCCAAGAAACTCTGATATCTGTAATTCCATTGTACATCTAGTCCACGTATCCGAAGTTTGAATTTATATTATAATTTTGAAGTCAGGAATCATTTTAGTTTAGTTCAAAATATAAAACTTTTGGAAGTCTATGAAGTGAATGTTTCAGTAACCACTATTCTGTCTATTACATTTTTGGTCAACAAGGTTTGAGAAACTTGGTGCTCTCAGTTAAAATGTCAAAAGAAGAGTGCTCTGTCAAATCTTTTTACCCCTATCCTTCTGTTATTTTTGTGATTTTTTTCTGTTCTATTACTTTAATTTCTCTGAGTCATTTTTATAATGTTTCCTTATAATTTTAAGCTGAAATGTTAACACTCCCCCCCTCCCAATTACTTCATGTCCTTTTTATGCACCATATTCTGAAACTAGTTAAAGTTAAATGGGTAAAGTAAGCACAGGAGAGATTGGTTGGCAAGAATCTCACAGGCCTGGGCAGGTGGGGGATGGTGTGTGGGGTGAGGAGGTGGGAGGCATTGCTGGGAAGAAGGAAAAGTGCAAAGGCTGCCGAACATCAGGGGTTGAACAAAGAAAAGTGGATCAATTTAGACTTTGGCTCAAGCCCTAGCAATCAAAGGCCAGAAATGAAGACTCTACTAATTTGTGTGTCATTGGGAACTTACTTCTAGCTAAGAATAATTTCAGCAATACTTAATAATTCAGTTCTAGGCGAACATTACATGCAGGCAGAGAGTAGCATGTTCATTCTCCGGATATGCCTACACTTAAAATAAACAAGGCTTGCTTTGGCAGACCTCTCCCTCTCATGACATTCCGGGGGCATCTGCTCTGACCCTTCTCATGGGGCTCACCGGCGTGCTTCCCCATCGGACCTCTCCTCCCCAGGAATAACCCACGTCCCAGACTTGCTTAGTCCAGTTCTTCACCCTCATCATCCCATTCTACCTTTCCTGACTAAAATGGCTACAGAGAAGCTATCAACTTACAATAATCACAGCGAATTGCAGTGAATAATATTCGCTTTAACTCTTCTAAAGTATTTATTCAGAGTATTTGTCATTCCACATTAACCTCAGGTTTGTTCAATCTGGTGATATTGACATGTAAAACATTTTTGAAGAAGGGAGGATATTGAAGGTGGTTGGGTCATTGCACAACTTTAAATCACAACATATAGGCAAACACCACAGAACTATCTCTGAAAATGTGGGGTTTGGGTGAAGGGAGAAGGAGAATTCTTATTTATGATATTGGAATTGAAACATAGAATTTTGGATTAAAAACTACTACCTCAAATTTTCTGGATTAGGTAACTATGTATTACATTCACATATATCCTCATAAAAGAATATATTTTATAATTAATTCTTATGATTTATAATATCAATTATTGTTTCCATTTTAGGGTTAACTCAAATTTGGAACCATCTTGTACTTGAAACAATATATAAATTTTTTTTCCTCCACTTTCTGATAGAAGAGAATCTCTCTAGCTTTGATATATATTTTAAGTCCTGAAAGAACTTTTTTGCCCTTTAAACATCCAGAATTAGATAACACATATATCTCTGCACACAAAAATAGCCAGTGTGTATTTGGACATGTTTCAGTAGGTTTTAATTTATTCACAGGAATTTCTGGGTTTTCTCTGTTTGTCAAATAAATAAATTTAAGCCAGGAATTTCTGGGCTGTGGCTAATTTCAAAGAGCATGTGGTATGTTTGAGGGACTGTTACTCTCAACTTTGTCTCTAAATCTGACCAGATTCTTAGCAGCCTGTGGGGACTACTGCAAACACGATGTTTTATAAGGAAGCAACTCATGTTTCTATACAAATGGAATGGGAATGCAGAGAACCTATCGCATTAAAAAGGTACTAGTTGGTCTCCGAGAAACTTGGGCCAATAAATTCTTCCTATCGGCTGTTATTCCTCTTTAGTGGTGAGTAACATTCTTTGAGGAATGTTCACTTTAAACAGAGCAGAGGCCATTTATGAAATGCTACAACGTCAAGCCTGGTTGAATAAAGCGGATTGTGAAAATATTCAAACCAGTATTCAACCAGCAGAAACTGATATTATGTTTAAACACATTTTGATGAAATATAAAATACAGATGAAATGAGTCAGCTGGAATCAATTACATAAGGAGTTTAAATCGCTATGATTTAATTTTTATTACATACTTTGTAGCACCCAATTTTAATTCAAATTCCACTTCGTAATCACTTAAACAGTTTAATTAAACTTAGCCTCAATTCTTGAGTTTTAAACATGAACTAGAAATAAAACAAATCTTCCTTACATGACAAATGATATCTACATAAAGCCTCAGCAAACAATATGTAAATTTTGAGACACTGAAAGTATTTCTCTTAAAGAAAAGACAAAAAACACTTATGTAAAGAAAAAGATGTTTGCAGGGCACCTGGGAGGCTCAGTGGGTTAAGCGTCTGCCTTTGGCTCAGGTCATGATCCCAAGGTCCTGGGACTGAGTCTCACATTGGGCTCCCTGCTTAGTGGGGAGTCTGCTTCTCCCTCTCCCTCTGCCGGTCCCCCTGCTTGTGCTCTCTCTCTCTGTTTGTCAAATAAATAAATAAAATCTAAAAAAAAAAAAAAAGAAAGAAAGAAAAAGATGTTTGCTATGATTGGTAACATTAACAGGGTTCTGGAACTCTTTGCCAATACAATAATATTTTACTTTTGAATATGAACTGTAATATTTATGTGTGCAAGGAAATGATGGAATACCTAGTTTAAAAGGTGGCTGGATATGAAGTTTCCAAGCTAAAATACAAGCAGTAGCATATTAGAAGCAAAACTGAAAAAAGGCTCTGTCCCAGAAAAAAATTAAATGCATTTGAATAAACCTTAAAGGATATAATTAAAGAGATATCTACCTTTATTTTGTAGATTGAGAGACGCTCAAGGAGAGAGATTTTATGTTATTTGCTAACATTTCTCAGTGCTTAGAGGCTGACATGAAGTAAGCATTCAATCAAAACTTGTTGACTTAGTGAAAAGATTTGGAAATTTAAGAATGATAGGAAACTAACTGATTTGGTTTAAAAATGTCAGTCAGATATTATCACATAACTAGTTACCTATCATGAATTAGAAACCACATTTCCTCCAAAGAAACTTTTTAATTTATTGAGAAGTAGAGTTAGAATTAAATTTAATATAAATCTAGTAATTGTCTTACTGATATCAGAAAGAAAACTTATACATGCATATTTGCTACTCCTAAAGACTGATCTTCTAGAATAACTTAGATGTTACAAACATTGCATGTTCGATTTTTTCAAATTTATGTGATATTTTCATTCTAATGATACAAGTAATGCTTGCTTCTCTACAAGACTTCTAAGGCTGTGGCAATATCATTTGTAAACGATAAATGGAATTTTCTTTAGAGAGAGTTAACATATATATCTGAAATAAATTCAATCATTAGATGATTTGAAGGCTTCTATTCTGTAATTTCTGTTCTGGTTCTAGACATGTTCATATGCTTCTTAATACTTTCACACAAAACATTTTGGTGAAAATTCTAAGCAAAAAAATATAAATTATGATAATTTCAAGGGAAATTATTATGATATGTTACAGTCTTCAAAATGTTTATTAAAACATTTTTTGAGGGGCACCTGGGTGGTTCAGATGGTTAAGTGTCTGCCTTTGGCTTAGGTCATGAGATCCAGGTCTAGGGATGGAGCCCCAGGAGGTGAGGTGGGGGGGGTGCTCCAGCTCAGCAGGGAGTCTGCTTCTCCCTCTCCCTCTTCTGCTGCTTGTCCTCTCTCTGTCTCTCTGTTTCTCTCTATCTCAAATGAATAAATAAAATCTTTAAAAAAAACAGTTTTTGAATTTTTTCATTAAATAAAATCATGATAAATAATCACGATTTAAATAAGCTACTTACATTTTTTAAACTTAACAATGTCTAAAGCCACTCACACACGAAGCTACAGAACAATAATTAAATCACATTTTCTAGACCAAATTCCTGTGAAAAGCATATTAGCAAATGTTTTATAATATAGAAAAAGGCTTCCTTTTTTTACTCTTACCTTTAGCCACACAAACAGTCCACAATATAAGCCAAACGATCTCCCCTGGAAATCTCATTTTGAGGATCTTTTAGGAGTACATTTAATAGCTGACGGTGCTCACACTATGTCAAATTCTCTTCCTCTAAAAAATGTGATTAGTGCAGGAAAGCACTTGCTCAAAAGGAAATTGAAACACAGCTCGGGAATTAAAGGGATTACTAGATGCTCCGCCCATCAGAAACTTTCGCAAGGTAAAAGAGAAAAATCAACCTCAAGCCCCAGCATTGCCAGAGTTTGGATCTGGTTCTCCCTGCGTTTCCACTGAATGTTAATGCTGTGACCTGCTTTTGATTTGTTTTTATAAACTCAGGCATGTCCTCCGCTGGAGCACGTTCAAGTTCTTGGAATGTGCAAAGCAGTAACTGGTGATATCCTCTGGATTTCATAAACCCTCAAAAGAGAAAATAATAGAAGGTCTTTTAAAAATCATTTACAGAACCTGAAGTGAGTCAATGCTTTCACAAACAAGACCCAGACAATGTGAGTAAACCTTGCCAAGAATGTAGTGCTGGCCTGCTTTTCCCACAGTCCAGGAATTTATTCCTTTAAGGGATTGTTATATACGTGTGTGAAGCAACAGGATCACTCTCCTTGGTCATAAATGCGTTTAGTAATTCAAAAATCAAGAAATTTGAACACTGAGTTTTTAAACTTTATATTGTTTTATAATACGCATAAAGAGCATATAAGCAAATGGGTTGGTGAATATTGAGAATGTGGAGACAGGAATGGAACCCGCGCCAAGCTGAGGACATTGAACAGCACTAGTTCTCCGGGAAGCCCCAGTTGTCCCGTTGGGTCAGCCTCTCCCAGCCTCTCCCTCACCACACAGAGGGGGACCACTGTCCTAATCTCTAAGAACATGGAATCCATTTGTCTGTTTTGTACTTTACATAAATTGAAACATATTTACTTTTTAGTGTGTAGAGCTTTTCACTAAAAATTATGTTTGTTACTCAACTGCACTGTTGGGTTTAATTACAGATTACTAATTCTTATTGCTGTGTAATATTCATTTATTTGAATATACCACATTTTATTTTTGTGCTTGTTAGTGGGCATCTGAGTAGATTCTAGTTAGGAGGCAATAGAAATAGGGCTGCTGTTATGAGGTTTTTGACAAAGACATGTCCTCACTTCTGAGGAGTACATACCTAGGGGTGGAACGGTAGCAGAATGGATGAATATGTTTAGGTGTAACAGGTAGCATCAGAGAGTTTTCTGCAAGGATTATGCTAATTGGTGTTCCCATCAGCAGTGTATAAATTGCTCCAAATCCTCAACACACTTGATGTTTTCAATCTGTGTAAATTAAGCCATTCTATTGAACACAGAGCAGTAATTCTCTGGGGTTTTAATATGCATTTTCCTGAGGACAAATGAAGTTGAGCGACTTTCAGGTAGCGATTGGTCATTTAGATACCCTCTTTGGTGAATTTTTCATTCAAGTCTTTTTGTGTATATATATTTTCTATTGACCTATCTGCTTTCTACTTATTGTAGGAATTCTTTTTATATTCTTTAGACATTCTTGGACATATTTATTATAAATATCTTCTCTCAGTCCGTGGGTTGTCATTTTGCTTAGTGTTTTTTAATGGGCAGAATTTCTGCATTTTAAATTGAACAATTAAATGTTTTCTTTACATAATTATGCTTGACTCTCATTTTTTCAAACACATTCTTGACTGACAAAGGTAGCCTGCTTTTGAAGCTGGACACTTTTCCAGAGGGTTCAAATCACAAATTCATGCTGAATTCATTGACATGTTTAAGCAGAAAAGAATTCTGGGTCACTAAGTCCTCTTGCATGTTTATTGCTCTAACTAAAGTAGAACCTGTCCTTGTAAATGTCACAGGATATAACAATTGCAATGGAAAAAAAGAAAATGTTTGGAGCTTAAGAAGAAAAGACATTTTGGGGCGCCTGGGTGGCTCAGTTGTTAAGCGTCTGCCTTTGGCCTCAGGTCATGATCCCAGGGTCCTGGGATGAGCCCCGCTTTGGGCTCCCTGCTCAGCGGGAAGCCTGCTTCCCCCTCTCCCACTCCCCCTGCTTGTGTTCTCTCTCTCACTGTGTCTCTCTGTCAAATAAATAAAATCTTTAAAAAAAAAAAGAAGAAAAGACATTTTTTAAATTTTAAAATAGAACAAATTTTCAATTTTTTTCTACTTGGTTTAGTGCATTTTGTGTCCTATTTAAGGATTCCTTGCCTACTCTAGGATACAATGATACTTTCCTCTAAAAGCATTATTTTCTCTTTCACATTTAAGACTGCATTTGACTTTTGTGTATGGTATAATAAAGGGCAACAGATACATTTTTAAAATATGGCAATCCAACTGTTCTGGCACTGTTTACTGAAAATACCGTCTCTTCCCTACCGTACTGCTTTACTCTGACTTTTGTCATAAATCAGGCAACTGGATATGTGTGAGTCCATCTCTTAATCTCTCCTACTAAGCTTAGTGAATTCACACTGAAATAGCTTAAGTCCCACTTTAATTTTTAAAATAAAATAATCTGAAGAAGTGTCGATTTCTGGGAACTTGGGGTTTTTCTAGTTATCTTTTAAATTGATTTCTTACAAAGACAAATACCATATGATTTCACTTATATGAGGAATTTAAGAAATGTAACAGATGAACATAGGGGGAGAAAAGAGATAGGAAAACCATAAAACAGACTCGTAACTATAGAGAACAAACTGAGAGTGGCTGGAGGAGCAGTGGGCAGGTGGATGGGTTAAATGGGTGACGGGTATGAAGGAGGGCACTTGTTGTGATGAGCACTGGGTGTTGTATGTAAGTGATGAACCACTAAATCCTACACCTGAAACTAATATTACACTGTATGTTAACTAACTGGCATTTAAATAAAAACTTGGAAGAAAAAAAATTTCAAAAAAGTTGTTTTCTTGTTTAATTTTGTTGTGATCTAAAGATGTACTCTCAATAAATCTAACCTTTGAAAATTTGATGAGTTTAGTATCCAAAATATATAAAGAACTTATCAAACTCAACACCCCAAAACAAATAATCCAATTAAAAAATGGGCAGAAGACATGAATAGACATTTTTCCAAAGAAGATGTACAGATGGCTACCAGACACCTAAAAAGATGCTCAACATCACTCATCATCAGGGAAATACAAATCAAAACTACAATGAGATATCACCTCATATCTGTCAGAATGGCTAAAATCAACAACATAAGAAAAAACAAGTGTTGCTGAGGATGTAGAGAAAGAGGAACCCACTTACACTGTTGGTGGGAATGCAAACTAGTGCAGCCACTGTGGAAAGCAGTATGGAGGTTCCTCAAAAAATTAAAAATAGAACTACCCTATGATCCAGCAACTGCACTACTAGGTATTTACCTGAAGAATGTAAAAATGCTAATTCAAAGGGTTACATATGCCCCAATATTTATAGCAGCATTATCAACAATAGCCAAATTATGGAAACAGCCCAAATGTCCGTTGATTGATGGATAAAGAAAAGGTGGGGTATATATACAATAGAATATATATATTTTTAAGATTTTTATTTATTTTTTGACAGAGAGAGACACAGCGAGAGAGGGAACACAAGCTGGCAGAGTGGGAGAGGGAGAAGCAGGCTTCCCGCGGAGCAGGGAGCCTGATGTGGGGCTCAATCCCAGGACACTGGGATCATGACCTGAGCTGAAGGCAGACGCTTAACGACTGAGCCACCCAGGCGCCCCATATATACAATAGAATATTACTCAACTATTGACTGAGGTGGCTGAGAATGAAATCTTGCCATTTGCAATGATATGGATGGAGCCAGAGTATAACGTTAAGTGAAATAAGTTAGTCAGAGAAAGACAAATACTGTATAATTTCACTCAAATGTGGAATTTAAGAAACAAAACAAATAAGCCACGGGAAAAAAAGGAGGGAGAGAAGCAAACCAAGAAACAGACTCTTAAATACAGAGAACAAATTGATGGTTACCAAGGAGGAGGTGAGTAGGGGGATGGGTTAAATAGGTGATGGGGATTAAGAAGTGCACTTGTGATGAGCACCGGGTGTTGTATGGAAGTGTTAAATCACTATATTCTACCCTTGAAACTAATACTAGACTGTATGTTAACTAAATGGTATGTAAATAAAAATTTACAAAAATCATGAAAAAAATGTGATGAGATTTTCTTTATGGCCCATTATATGGTCAATATTCTACCCATGTCAGTAGGTCAAATTTATGATTCTATTGTTCAAATCTTTTATATTTTTACTATGTCTTAATCTGTTTATTCTATTAGATATTGGAAAGATGTTTTAAATATTCTATTGTGATTGTGGACTTGTCTATTTTTCTGTTTTATCAATCTTTTTTATATATTTTAAAGTTATGTTGATGTTTGTATATGTATTTAGAATTGTGATACCCTTTTGTATTGATCATTTTGTCATAAAATGTCCTTCCTTACCTTTAATTTTGCTTCCAGTATGGTTTTATATCTGTTTTATTTCTTTTCTTTTTGTTTGTGTATTCAATATATTTGATACACAGAACCAAACTTGTCTTTTGTTTTGAGAAAAATAAGGAATAAAAGAGTATATGTGAGAAATCAAGCAAATATGAATTTTCAGCTATCATTCTGAAGTTGAATTTCATTTAACTGGTGGCACATAAATTGACAGCATAAACTTCCTCTTTATTTTTTCATTTGTTTTATCTCTCTGACTGTGAATCCAAATATCTTGCCTTATTTAAATTTCTAATAGTATTTCTTGTCTAATAACAATACTAACTTAACACTTAGGGAGTACTCTAGAATGTTATCATGATTAATACTAGTGAATTCCAACTGTATACCAAACACAGATCTATGCACATTTGGCAACACTGTACTTATTACAATATAATTAAATAGGAGACTATTATTATCTCCAATGTATAGATGAGTGAACTGAGTTGCAGAACATTAAAGCAACTTTGTCAAAGTCACAAGATTTCAATAGGACCAGGTATCAAACCCTGAGATGATCTCCTGAATTTTACTTTTTAACTTATGCAGATCTGCCTCTCAAATGATTTGCTTCTGATGCTACTAAGTCTACGTAAATTTAGCTGTCAATAAATAACTCCTTTATATAATTAAAAGTACTATAAAATATTTACATATGTATTCTAGTATATGCTTCAGAGTCCAGAGTGCTAACCATTACACAATGGTCTAGTATATGCTTCATAGTTACCTATGTATTTTATAATTATA